TGAATTGACCTTGCATTTGGCACCACTGCACACAATTTGTGTGACACAAATATATTAAGCAAATGAAAAAGAGGTTGAATAGCTCCGATTTCTAAAAAATCACAGCATTCCTAGTAACAGGCCAATGGGATTTTCAATCCATACCCCATAAAACCACCCTGGCTATAGCAAAATTCTATAGGGCTGTGCTCTTGAAAGGATTATTCTTTTTCACTGGACAACTTGAACAACTTGATACTTCTGAAAACTTACAGGGTTCAGGCAAAGTGTAGCTCTTTTTGTTATCCTGCTAAGAACACATCTTTGTTCTTATTACCTTGAACCCCACGAGTGATCAACAAGTAACTTCTCCCCAATATAATATCCATACCTTATCCAGCACACAGGTAAGTGGCTGACACATTGGCTGGTGTGTTGGTAGGATCGGACTCTTTACCTTTACCCAAGAATACACCACTTTCATAAATGGCTGCTGGATTGATATTCATTTGTTTAAATTCAAATTAGCCTCACTAGCCTCACTTGAGATTATGCATTCTTTTCAATTTTGAACTGGAAAACGAGGCCAGAAAGGCTAAGTAATTTAAATTTAAACAAAAGAATATCAATCCGGCAGCCATTTATGAAAGTGGTCAATGAGTCAACTTGTCTTGACCTAACACCAAATTCTTGTAACTAATTTACATGGAAATCAGTAGTAACTACAGAGGAAAATTAACAATCACATATTTGGAGTTAGAGGGTTTACTGGAGAATGTTTTTTTTTTTTTTGTAGAATTTCAGATCTTTGCAAGGACTACTGTGGTGTTCTTGATGAAGAAGCAATCAAGTGTAATTTCCCTCTGATTTATGAGCTGCTGGACGAAGTATTGGTAGGCTTCATCTTCTATTTCACTCTTTCACTCAAGTGATTATAAAGGAATTCTCTTTACAATTATAATGTCACATTTTTCTAGCCAAGATGTACTGAGAAGAAAGAAAAAATATTAACAATGGGATGTTGTTCAATTAAACACAAAATTCAAGATTCAACACTAACTTTTCAACTTACTAGCCAAGTGGCTGGTGACAACTTAGATGTTACAACAATTTCAGTTTGTTTGTTAGCCAAACTGGCTGGTGGAAATAAAAAACCACTAGCCAAAACTGAATTTCTACTAGCCTGTGGCTAGTTGGCTACCTTTAGTGTCAAGCCCTGAAATTCTTTGGGTTAATAGACCACTTTCATAAATGGCTGCCGGATTCAGTAATATTCTTTTGTTTAAATTTAAATAAGCCCTTCTGGCCTCGCTTGAGGTAGTGTATTCTTTTGAATTTTGTACTGGAGAATGAGGCCAGAAGGGCTAATTTAAATTTAAACGAACTGAAAGAATATTAATCCAGCAGCCATTTATGAAAGTGGTCTATATTGAAATAAAAGTGTGACAGACAGTATAGAGAACTGGTATGTAGGTTCTGTAAGTTGTTCTTGGCAATCCCTCGTAACGAGTAAGATGTCCACTTGGCAGTGAATAAATTAAATTAAATTGAATTAAATAGTTTACATGAGTTCGCTGGTGACTATACAGTCCGATTCGGGAAGAGCAAATTCTCTGACAAACTGGACATCTGAAATCAGTGGAGGTTGGACTACGCTGGCATTTTGTTGTCTCTCTTTTCTCGCCAAGCGGAGACTCTCACAGTGCTCCCTCCTCCGTTGCTCACTATGCGCCACACCAGTGTGGATAGCACTTCTCCAGCTAGGCCGGTCATTGGCCAATTGTTCCCTGTTCTCGGGGTTGATACCGCACTACTTCAGGTTGTGTTTAAGGCTATCCTTAAAGCGTTTTCGTTTCCCCCCCTGGTTACGTCTTCCATTGGACAGTTCACCATACAGAATCTTCTTTGGGAGCCTGGATGAAGGCATACAGACAAGGTGACCAGCCCAGCGAAGTTGGTTGTTGATAATATAGGACTCAATACTTGTGACATTAGCCTCTTCCAAAACACTGCTGTTTGTTCGTCTGTCTTGCCACTTGATGTTGAGGATACGGCGAAGGCAACGGTGATGATACCTCTCAAGAATTTTGAGATGACGGCTATAGGTTGTCCAAGCTTCTGAGCCATACAGCAGGGTTGGCAATCTTACGGCTTTGTAAACCTTTATTTTGGTGTTGGTGTAGAGGTTTCTATTATCAAACACCCTGTCTCTGAGGCTACCGAAGGCAGCACTAGCTGATTTTAGACTAACTTGGGTTTCAACATCCAAATCTGCCTTGCATGACAGGCAACTACCAAGATACGAGAAATGATCAACAGAGCTAAGGCGTGTGTCTCCAACTGTGATCTCTGGTTGTTTTCGCTCAAGTGTGTGATCAGGTGATGGTTGGAAAAGAACTTGTGTCTTCCGAGCATTAAGTGTGAGGCCAAGCGCATCATAGGCATAACTGAAGGCATCCACAGCCACTTGAAGGTCTTCTTCTGTGTGGGTCACTAGGGCGTTGTCGTCAGCATATTGGAGCTCGAGTATAGCCATGTGAGTGGTTAATGTCTTAGCCTTCAGTCGCCGTAAGTTGAACAGCTTGCCATCCATCCTAAACTGCATATCTATACCACGAGGTAATTTCTCCGACACCAGGTGTAGCACGGCGGAGATGAAAATCGAGAAGAGTGTTGGGGCTAAAATAAAGGCTGATAGTTTCGAAAGAAACTGTTTGGGGCTGCGTCGGTGGGAGTAACGAAATAATTTGGATATATCAACAAAGTTGAAATGGTAAATTGGCCACCGTAATGATTACAAAAGCTGACGTTTCGAGCGTTAGCCCTTCGTCGGAGCGAATAGAGGAATTGTGGGTTGTGTGTGCTTTTAAAGGCAGAAAATGGAGCTACGTTATTGGTGGGTGCATGGCAACGAGAAAAACATGAATAAATTAGTGGAATGAAAAGCGTTCATTGATCCCTGTGGGATTGAGACTGCCGGTTTGAAAGAACTTTCGGTAGACTCGCCATCAATAAGTACTGATGCAGACATGTTGTCATGCAGCAGACGGATCATTCTGATGTATTTTTGATGAACTTTATTGTGGGATTGAGACTTGCCGGTTTGAAAAAACTTTCGGTAGACTCGCCATCAATAAGTACTGATGCAGACATGTTGTCATGCAGCAGACGGATCATTCTGATGTATTTCTCTGGGCATCCAATTTTAGAGAGCACTTTCCACAGGTTTGGCCGATGTACGGAGTCAAACGCCTTAGATCAATGAAAGCCATATAGAGGTCTTTATGCTGTTCCCTGCACTTTTCCTGAATCTGTCGTGCCGAGAAAATCATGTCCACAGTCCCACGTGCTGGTCTGAAACCACATTGAGACTCTGGAAGGACCTCCTCGGCAATGGGGAAGAGGCGGCATGCAAGGATGCGAGCAAAGATCTTCCCAGCAATGGAAAGCAGGGATATACCTCGGTAGTTTTCACAGTTTGCTTTGTCGCCTTTCTTGAAAATGGTGACAACCAGAGCATCTTGAAGAACGCTGGGAATTACTTCCTCGTCCCAGATTTGCGTGAATAGTACATGCAGTTTCTCAATGAGAGCTGGACCAGCAGCCTTGTATGCTTCTACAGGGATACCATCATGGCCAGCAACTTTGCCTTTCTTCATAGCACCTATAGCTGTGGCAATATCCTCTAGAGTTGGTGTCTCGTCAAGATGGCTTTTTTCGGAAAGTTGAGGCAAATTCGCAATTGCGTCAATGTTCACCGAGGGAGTCTGATTCAGTAACTCACAGAAATGTTCTTTCCATCTGTCACGAATGCCAGCCAAGTCCTTGTGAAGGGTTCCATCCTTGCCTGCAACTGGCCTAACACCCTGGGATGTTGGCCCATAGATCTTTTTGGTGGCTGCAAAGAAGGCTTTGCTGTTATTGCTGTCGGATAGAGCTTGAATCTCCTGTGCTTTTTGAATCCACCNTTACGGCTTTGTAAACCTTTATTTTGGTGTTGGTGTAGAGGTTTCTATTATCAAACACCCTGTCTCTGAGGCTACCGAAGGCAGCACTAGCTGATTTTAGACAAACTTGGGTTTCAACATCCAAATCTGCCTTGCATGACAGGCAACTACCAAGATACGAGAAATGATCAACAGAGCTAAGGCGTGTGTCTCCAACTGTGATCTCTGGTTGTTTTCGCTCAAGTGTGTGATCAGGTGATGGTTGGAAAAGAACTTGTGTCTTCCGAGCGTTAAGTGTGAGGCCAAGTGCATCATAGGCATAACTGAAGGCATCCACAGCCACTTGAAGGTCTTCCTCTGTGTGGGTCACTAGGGCGTTGTCGTCAGCATATTGGAGCTCGAGTATAGCCATGTGAGTGGTTAATGTCTTAGCCTTCAGTCGCCGTAAGTTGAAGAGCTTGCCATCCATCCTAAACTGCATATCTATACCACAAGGTAATTTCTCTGACACCAGGTGTAGCACGGCGGAGATGAAAATCGAGAAGAGTGTTGGGGCTATGACACAGCCCTGCTTGACACCAGTCTTCAGTACAAAACTTTCGGTAGACTCACCATCAATAGGTACTGATACAGACATGTTGTCATGCAGCAGACAGATCGTTCTGATGTATTTCTCTGGGCATCCAATTTTAGAGAGCACTTTCCACAGTGTTGGCCGATGTACGGAGTGAAACGCCTTAGTCAGATCAATGAAAGGCATGTAAAGGTCTTTATCGTGTTCCCTGCACTTTTCCTGAATCTGTCGTGCCGAGAAAATCATGTCCACAGTCCCACGTGCTGGTCTGAAACCACATTGAGACTCTGGAAGGACCTCCTAGGCAATGTGGAAGAGGAGGCATGCAAGGATGAGAGCAAAGATCTTCCCAGCAATGGAAAGCAGGGATATACCTCGGTAGTTTTCACAGTTTGCCTTGTCGCCTTTCTTGAAAATGGTGACAATCAGAGCATCTTGAAGATCGCTGGGAATTATTTCTTCATCCCAGATTCGCGTGAAGAGTACATGCAGTTTCTAAACGAGAGCTGGACCAGCAGCCTTGTATGCTTCTACAGGGATACCATCAGGGCCAGCAGCTTTGCCTTTCTTCATAGCACCTATAGCTGTGGCAATATCCTCTAGAGTCGGTGTCTCGTCAAGATGGCTTTTTACGGAGAGTTGAGGCAAATTAGCAATTGTGTCAATGTTCACCGAGGGAGTCTGATTCAGTAACTCACAGAAATGTTCTTTCCATCTGTCACGAATGCCACCCAAGTCCTTGTGAAGGGTTCCATCCTTGCCTGCAACTGGCCTAACACCCTGGGATGTTGGCCCATAGATCTTTTTGGTGGCTGCAAAGAAGGCTTTGCTGTTATTGCTGTCGGATAGAGCTTGAATCTCCTGTGCTTTTTGAATCCACCAATTAGTTTCCATCTCACTGACCCGGCTTTGGACTTTGGATCTCATTTCGTGGTATTGCTGTTTCTTTATAGCATTACTGATTTCATTCTGCCAAACAGAGAATCTTTTACGTTTCTCAGCAATTATCTGCTCTATCTCTGCGTCATTGTCATCAAACCAGTCCTGATAGCACCACTTCTGGCTGCCCAGTGTTTCGTCACAAGCTGTTTTAATAGCAGTCTTTAAGCCTTCCCAGAGACAATCAACATTGATGTCATCAACGTGTAGCAGCGCTGCAGTCAATTTGGACTGGAACTCAGCTTGTTTCTCAGGGTGATCAAGTTTCCCTAGGTTATACTTGGGCCTCAGCCGTTTCGGCGTCATTCTCTGCTTGCGAATGACAAAGGACATAGAGGATCGTACTAGCCTGTGATCGGTCCAGCACTCGTCAGATGATGTCATTGTCTTGGTGATCAGAACGTCTTTTCTGTCACAGCAACGTACAATGACATAGTCAATCATATGCCAGTGGCGTGATCTAGGATGTCTCCATGAAGTCTTATTCCTGTTCTTTTGGCGGAAGAGGGTGTTTGTTATCACCAGCTGGTGCTCCGCATATTTGGTCAGGAGTTGGATCCCATTGGAGTTAGCATTGCCTACCCCTTCCTTCCCAATGACATTTTTCCATACAGAGCGATCTCTGCCAACCCGAGCATTGAAGTCACCAAGGAGAATGATCTTGTGATTGGATGGAATTTGTGTTAACACAGAGTCAAGAGTGGAGTAGAATATCTCTTTATCTTCAGGTTCAGCCTGTAGAGTTGGTGCATATGCGGAGATTACTGTCGCTTGTTGATTGGATTTTAGCTTCAAACGGAGTGTCGTCAGGCATTCACTTACACCAACCGGGAGTTCCTCCAGGTTCCTAATCAGCTCATTTTTTACGGCAAAGCCCACGCCATGTATTCTCTGTTTATTCTCCTCCTTCCCCTTCCAGAAGAAGGTATATCCTGCTCCTTTCTCAGTCAGTTGTCCTTCACCAGCGCGACGGGTCTGTATTATACTGGCGCGACGGGTCTGTATTATACTGGCGCGATGGTATTATACTGGCGAAGCTCACGAGCAACGAAGGCAGTTTGCCTTTCTGGTCTCTCACTATTTTTGGTGTCCATCAAAGTACGTACATTCCATGTACCAAAAAGGAGTTGTTGCTTTCTTTGTTTTTGACCGCAACAAAGGTGAACCCGCTGGGTGCGGTAACCCAGCCAGGAAATATAAGGAAACAGACTATGTTTAGGATACCTTTCCTAATCCTTTCCCCATGCAGGATGAGCAGAGTGGCTCCTAAAGAGGACTGCTCAGAAATGGGGGCGACTACCGAACTACTCTTCTGTTCCCAACTCCAAGAGCAGAGCGACTGTAACTTGACCCCCACCACCTATGTGCTGGTTCACAACTGAAGGCTTCCAGACTTCACAATCCTGCCCCTGTCGCCGCTTACCAGTCACCGTAGGACTTTTGGCCAAGTGGAAGCTGTGCATGAATTTCTAACGTGAGTACAAAGTTGCACGGCAAAGTTCCCACGGTGCTTGACATCACATGTCCTGGTTCCAGTGGCAAGGATACCTCAATGATTGGGGGACAAGTTCTGCTGCTGTGGATGGCCATTGGCGTTGGCTCGCGAGGAGCTCATTTGCTCAGACTAACCCACTTTCATAAACATACCCTCTGTTCCTACTCAATGGTAAGGGTAAAGGAATGTTATTATCTTCCCAGCAGAAGTCATGGGCTGAACCCCTCCCTTTGTGAAGCATTCGTTTTCCAGTCAACAGATTGAAAGTTCTCCAGTGACCACTACACTGTAATGTTTCGCAGAAGCTTCAGACTACTGGGTCATGCTTAAATTGATTAGTGGGGTCTCACAATCTCATTGGCAAACTTGAGTGCATTTGAAACCAGCCTGTAAAATATGTGAGATTGTGGTAGGCAGCCTGAATGCACTTCCCGATCAAGAAGGGCTGCGGTTGGGTCAAGTTCCACCTCATAACTGCTGCTGGCATCTGAGGTGGTTTCCTATTCCGACATGGTTGTCTTATCATCATCTGACTCATCAGAACTAAATCATTGAATGAGAAACAGCATATGAGGATTTATTTATCATTCTTTCTTTGTAAATTACAGTACACTAAATTTCTAAAATAATTATTTCAAAATATTAATTTGACATAATTATTATGAAATGGAAATGGAGCAACTACATATCACAATCAGATGAAATTCTATGTGAAACTAAGAAATGAAATTAACACACCACTGTTTTTGTTCATTTGTGGAAAGTACAAATATACTGTATATTATTTACTTTTTAGTAAGCCAGGAGGTCAAAGCCCTCTGCCCTTCGCAGATAATGTTTGTATGCCCTGGTTTTTCTTGATCTGCCTTTCCTGTAGTTGGCTGCATGGACCATTTAAGATGTGTTCTGAAAAATAAATATGAAATAAGTAAATAAATATAAAACAGACAGACTGGTGGATCAATAAGTGTGCATCAATAACTAGTGTGACCCTAAATTTTAAAGAAATTAGCATGGCTGTCTCAAAGCTAAGATAAATGAGGAACTCTGGGTTTCTTGCGTCTTATGGAAATAACGAAATTTCTAATATATGGGCTAGTATGTGGATCTTTTTGCAGCAACGGAAAGTCAACTGAATCAATGGAATTGACGTTGACTTAACTTGCTTTTCTGAAAGTAATCATTGTAGTAGATACAATTTAGGTTTACCACTGTTTTGCACTTGACGCAGATTATTCACCTCTCATTTTGCAGGATGCAACCAGGAAACTTCTCTTCAACACCTATTGAACAAACAATATTGCACATTTAAACAATGCTTTAGTTTAGTATAATTTATGAGTGCAACAGATAGCTTCAAATACACTTATAGACTTATATATTCTTCTGTAAATTCATTCAAGTGTTTCTTTTCGTAGAATTGCCCCATGAATACGTTTTTTTTCTCTGAGGGGTTAGAGGATGGAAGTAAACACTACACTAACTATGTTCACTTACATTTTTTCATATCCTGATAAGCTGCCTCTAACTATAACTATAAGTACTTCATTTAAAGTACCTCAATCACACATGCGCACAGCACTACTGCACAAGAACAAGTACTGGCTCGAAGATAGGAAATGGATTCACGTGTCAACTGTTAGCTAACTGTTACTCGGTTAGAGCATAATTTACTCGGTTATCAACGTACCTGGCAATTCCTCTTCGGAAGAACTAGAGCTAACATGGACCTCAGCGTTTCGGTGAGCTTTTTTACACCTGTAATTGAAAATTAACCTGTGATTAACTTACAGAGAATTCTGGATGGATTGCAGTTTGAGAGTGGTTAGTCTCATGTAAGTGATTGATCTACAACAACGTAGTATGCATAGAAGGATGGTACTGCGCTTGTGAACAAAATTCAATGGTCCAAGTGGAAGTTTTCGTGTGTGGGCTTAAAAATGAAGTCTAAATGACTCGGACTAATCAAATAATAAACAGTACCTGTAAAACAGTGATAGATTAAAATATTAAATCACGGAACTACATCCTAGCAACCAACGTGCAAAGTGTTGGGTAATATTTTAGGCAGTTTTCTCCTCGAACTTCTTTGAGCTGTAGGGGTCAGCCTGACAGAAGCACTATATACTAACCAACAAACCAAACACTTACAAAGGCGATTTTTGATGCAGTTTTTTTTGTACATTACAATGCAATTTTTGTCATGTACCTTCGAAATATACCTTCCAAGTTGCCACTTGACCGCTACAATGATTGCATCAAATTTGTATCAAAAATTGCTTGATTAAAGGCATCTTAAAATACAATTTCCCAGTACAATTTAATACACACGTACCGTTTTTATTACTTTTTGCCTTTTTTTGGATTTTTTCTTTGCTTTTGGACTTCTCTTTTTTCTTTGATATTTTCTTTATCTTCCCTTTGGCTGTAATTTTCCCTCTATCTTCTGATAAAAACATGAAATTAAATTGAAATAAGCAAACAAATAAGAAAATACTATGCTTAATAGACCCTTAATCAAATACTTCAGTTTGAATTAACTTTGTTTTCCAGAAAAATTAATCTTTTGAATATTAACTCTCATTTCCTGTGTACGTAGCGGGTGGTTTTGATTTCCCCGCTTTCGACGCGATCGCCGGAAAGCGATCGAGTGTATGGTAGTTTTAATATTTCAACCTATTTTGTCAACTTTTGCCATCTTGGGCAAACAATCCTAAGTAAAATCACCATCAGCGCAACTTGCGGCCTAGATCTTTCATAGCTAGCTATAGTAGCTTACAGTAATAGGACCACGGGACTTGACTGGCCAAGTATGGCGTGGTTGTTTTCGCGCGGCTGGGATTGAAGTTTTACTGGTAGACTAACAGCGAATTGTCCCCACATTCATAAATACCAACATTTATAGAGTACTTATGTGTTTCATGTTTTCGCTTCCGATGAGAAGAAGACCTTGTGCTCATTTCGGTTTCCTCCATTATTTTGAACGATTCCACCTCAACTGAGTTCAAACACGGCCGCGCGTTCTTTCTGACAACTTCCAGACAACTTGAGTTGTAAGTAACAGCGCATCAGTCAAACAAATCAAAGGGAAACGACCAAGCACAACCTCCTGACCGGAAATTAGGTCATGGCCAGGAAAAAAAATAGAATTTATTGACTGTTGACAGATTTTCAGATCTGATGTTTCATACAAGGGTTTACAACAAAAGGATCCTTTGTGAGACTTTTGTACAAGCTCATTCTCACAGCTCTCAACCAAACCTGGGGCTCACAATTTGAGTCTGAACATCTCGCGCTTGCACTTCAAACCCTTTGAAGTTTTGGTCTTGCAATCTAAAAAGTCAAAATGTCTCAGGCTCACTAAGAAAAACGCTAGTCTCGCCGTCTCACAAAGTCTCGCATTATTTTCTCATTCGCCACCCCTAAATAAATAGCTCCTCCATGATATGCATGGCATGGTCACACTGATAATTTCAAAGAGGAAAAGCTGGAACGTGTACATCTGTATTTACTTGTGATTACTGTGTACCATATTCTGTTTTCTAATTCTTAGGTCTAGGGACAATTTGGTAGTCAATTACTTATTCTCAATTGTTGTGCTGAATATGGGCTAGTTCTATGTTTTGTACTTAATAGCTTTACACTTGATGCTTGACAAGGTGTCAAAAGAGCAAGTCATACAAAAGCATAAACAATATCAGTGAGAGTCCCAATAACCCCTGTGTAAATGCTGGTACTTGTACTGACCAAGTGAAGATTTACATTGGTGCTTGTCAGCCTGGATTTGAAGGACTCAGTTGTGAAACAAGAAGCAAAAGAAAACTGTGATTTGTTTATAGTGGAGACCTTGACAGTATTCTTTCTGAAGTTTTTGTTATAACTACATCCATTACTGGTAACCCCACAGTGAAATAGATAAACAAGTGTTGTGTATTAGTGTTCAAATAAATGAACAAATCAATCACTCAAATGTTTAGAAACTTTATGACCTTATAATAAAATTAATTTAATCTTGGTTCAGATTTATTTCTTCTGATCTAATAATTTTTGGGAAGCACATAATTTGTAGAAGGCAGACCACCTAGCCAATCTAGGGATAGAGTGAGTGGTGAACTACATATCTGCAGCAAATACAGCCATGCAACCATGCAAACTATTTGACCACACTACTTAATTACTTGTTACTTTGAAACTAAGAAAACCACAAACACTTTGATTTGATTCTCAAAGGACAGTTGTGTACTGTTGAACACAAAATTCAGGAGTAAGCAAACTCCCTACTGCTGCTGTCTAGTTGTCTTGAGTTGCAATGACATTACATAAGTACATGTATTTCTGGAGTTCACAGTAACAGTGTACACAAAATATTTTTGTTCCCTAAGAATAACAAAGGTAGTACTTTGTAGAAGTTTATCAGCATTCTGATTTTTTTCCAAAGATGAAAAGCTGCGCAAACATGAGTCCAAAGAAATGTGTAATAAGTAATACGCAGTTCATAAAAATAAACAGGCTATTGATCTTCTTCGAAACCATGGTAGACCACAGTTTCGCTAGAAAAAGCTTTGCATAATGGCCTAAAGGCATTGCATGACAAAACACAATAAACATAGCCTTTCAAGAGATATTTTCATCTTGCCACAAAAGCTCAACTAAGAATACGTGTGCTAAACTTTATATTATGAACTTCTGCTTTACCAGTAAGCCGCTTTTGAAGCTCTAGCTCCCTCATTTCTTCACTAGCCACGTTTAAATGTTTTCCTCAAAAGCAGCAGCCTTGGTTGCACGTGGCTCTACTTATTCATCATACAGAACGCAATATATCCAATATTTCTCCTCAACACTACAACAGTCATTCATGGACCCCTTGTCGGAAGAAACAGAACCATTACTGTCGTTTAAAACAAAGAACAGCGACAATTTTCGAGCAAGATCGCCACTCAATCCACCATTTTCTTCGGCAGAGCTTCGATGAAAGGAATAATATGATGTCACAATGGGAAAAGATGCTGAAAATTATCGTTGGCTCAGTAGTTGTAGTTTGAGCAATGGCAGATGAAATTGAGCAAGTTTTAATCAAAATGTTTTCAGACTTTTCTTGCCATGATAGGTCTGAATTGTATTCTTTCTTTTCGTTTAGGATCGAAACTTTAATTGTAAGAAATAGACAACTTTTTTGAGAGACATGTTTCGGCATGCTTATGCCATCTTCAATCAATGAGTAACTGAACGTAATTATAAAGCATACAAGTAGATGAATAAAATATTTACAGTATGATGTAATACAAAAGCAGGTACCAATAAACATGACACCAAACATCGATCAAAGGTGTGAACTAAAATGCTAGAAAAGTGTTATAATGCTGTAATTGTTTGTTAAGTTCAGGTTTGGTCTTATTTATTACAGCATTATAACACTTTTCTAGCATTTTAGTTCACACCTTTGATGTTTGGTGTCACGTTGTAATTAGTACCTGCTTTTGTATTACATCATACTGTAAATATTTTATTTATCTACTTGTATGCTATATAATTACTCGCGTTCAGTTACTCATTGATTGAAGATGGCATAAGCATGCCGAAATAGGTCTCTAAAAAAGTTGTCTATTTCTTACAATATTTATCATACTTGCTACTACTACAACCTTATGGAAACTTTAATTGTCGGCAAAAAAAAATTTGTTTTGAAGAAGTACATGTATCAGTTTTTGTCTCAGTAGCACTTTAAGATTAATAGAACACATGTTCTAGGTCAAAGATATCTCATTGCTCTTGAAGTCTGTCAAGTATGTTACCCACTGGGAGCCTTTATTTAATTGAATAATATGTGACTGTGAAAAGCAAAGGCTTTGAAATTCTTTACCTTCATTCTTAGCTGGTGAAATAAACTTTTACTCATCAATTTTGCAGGTTACTGATGTATAAACATCGTCATCCTCCTTCAAGTCGCTTTGATGCAATTGATTTAGATCCATATGGATCAGCATCAATCTTTCTTGATAGTGCAGTTCAAGCTGTAGCTGATGGTGGCATTCTCTTGGTAACATGTACAGACATGGGAGTGCTATGTGGAAACCATAGCGAGGCTTGTTTTGGAAAATATGGCAGTATGTCTTTAAAAGCCAAGTTTTGCCATGAGATGGTAAGTACAAGACAGTGTAATTTGACACTGCATCTACATTGTAGTCAAAGGTAATTTGACTAATCTAGTTACTGCTATGGGTTATTTAATAATTTGTTGAAAGAAGACATACTTGTAGAAAAAGACAGGTAAGTTTTATTTGCTACTGGGTGACCCACATGTCAAGTTAAGTCAACAAGTTGACTACTAGAAATGTCAACCGCCAATAGTAACATATACAGTTTATTTTTGCTGTCAATGTTTCATACAATAGGGACAATAGACCACAAAATACCTGTCTGAGTTTATTTCAGATAAATTGGATGGCAATTTTTTTATCTATTAAATGATATTTTTGTTGGAATCATTCTTTTGAAAGTTAATGCTCTTTTTCTTGAATGAATGAAAACATCAGTTAAACAATGTGTCACACCTCAACCCACCCATTAAAACTCTGGCATGTGTAGCTTGCATCCAGGAGGAAACAGAATGGAAATGCAAGAGTGTGTAGTATATACACCAACAGTTTATAAGTATATACATTAGACATTAATTCTTATGGAATTACACTTAGTACTTCAAGCTACTTGTCTTCAGCTTTGAGGTAATAAGCTGACACATTATAAGCTTGTTTTTAAATGTGCTTTCTGAATTTATGCACCAATGTTGAAGTAATATAATGATTAGATACAGTTCTATGAATGCTCCTAGATGTTCTTTTGAATTGTTATTGCCTGTTTCTTCTCAGTTGTGGAAATATTACAGGCCATGAAAATGTTGTGAGAACCACACAAGAGATCATAGCTAGCTGTTTACTACAAACATATAAGCAATGTACTAATCATTATTATGTAATATTGCAGAGTGCCCTTCTCCATTTGTTGTTGAACGTTACTCTTTTGTATTACTTTGTCTTCAATAGTGAAATAAAAAAATCATGGAAACCATTGTATGGTTTCTGGTCATTAAAGACATCTTATTAAAAGTTAAGCTTGGATCTGTAACACTAAGTATAATGTAACTTATTTTTTACTTTTGTCTGATCATACACCAACAGTAGTCCAGAGAAGGACTGTTGTTAAGTAGTTGTTATTAGGGAGCTTAAGCAACCACGACGAAAGGGATGACGACGACGTCAAGTAATCGCGGAGGGTCTGGAACAAGGACGTCGTTTTTAGCGGGAAAATGAAAGTTAAGCAGTGAAGTTGCTCAAGGACGACGACGTCTAAAATCTTGTTTATTCTCGCTTCATCAGTTTAAGAAATGACATCGTTCAGAGACGTTCAAAACCTTCTTCTTCTCAGTCATGGATCAAATTTCCACCTATATTAAATCGAAAGTTCGAGAGTAGGTTATTCAATTCTTGAATATCAACAGTCCAAGGAATTATAAAGCTTTAGCTTTATTTACAATAATTTACACATGGCAAAAGTTTAAAATATTAAATTTTACGCAAGTTATATGAGATTTAAATTCAGTTCTAAGTGTTGCTGATGTAAACAAACCTATTTTGCACAAGGTTTGCCTGATTTTCAACATGCTTTAGCCTGATATGTTCTACCTGTGATGCTCCTTCCTTTGGCGAGCAAACGACGGAAGTCTGTCAATTTTAATCAATGCTAGCTAGCGATCGGCACAGATAGCAGTCGTCGCGCTTCACACAAGAATACTATTTTTTCCTGTGTGATTTTGTCGGAATAATTTTTATATCAAACATTTTGAAAATAGATTCAGAAAACCTGACTGGTATTCAAGCTCATGTTAATGTTAACACACCGATCTGAAGAATTCTTTGTTGTTTTAAAGTGTCTCGATTGAAGAACAGCAACACACAAAATTTTTTAGTAGCAATAATCCAGCAGTTCCATACACAGCTTTTGACCGAACGCAGAGGTGTATTGCACTGCCATTTAAAACTTTTCATTCAATAAAAATGATAAACAGCACTCTTTCATAAAATATACTCAAATAAACTTAAATCTTACGTGGTCGCTTACACCGCTTGACTTGACATCTGTTGTGCGGAGGAAGGAATATGAGTTAGTGAGTTTTCGAATTTTATTATTTAGAAAACTGAATAGGGAGGTTTGAATCAACCGAAGAAGTGAATACAAACTCCAACCGGCTATAGACTGTCAAGAAACTGACAATAAACCCGCACCTTTTGATGAGAAAAACTGCTTTGAAGTTCGGAAGTTCACGACGACGTGAAACAGGTCGTTCTCAAGTCGTTGACGTCAAGACGACGATGGAATTCTTGGTTTGCGCTTGCGCAGTGACGTTCTTGCTACTTCCGGTTGTCGTCCTCCGTTCGTCGTCGTGGTTGCTTAAGCTCCCAATTGATGTTTTTGGCAACCCAAGGGGTAGTCTTCATCAGGCTTAAATGAGGAGTTGTCCAACAGTTGAATTTTATACAGTCATGCAAGTCTGTTTCTTGTAAACTGATTGATCAGTTTGCTTTGACATTGTTGGCTTTAAGACTCAAATAGGGTATGTCGGCATGAATACTTGGTTTTGATCAATCTAGTTGCCAGAGGAGCTATAGTAATTCAAAGGAGCCCTTTACCTACTTTTGTATTTTCAGGTTTGAACAAAATGAGGTTATTTAAATTTTCAGCCAAGGAACTATTTAGTGCCTTAGTTATCACTTACACTATAGATATGTTTCAGCTATCTTTCTGTCCTTTAATTAGATCTGATCTCATCCTAATGTAACCCAATTATAAATGTGAAGTGTCTGTCAATACCAGTACTACATTCATGACTTTTCTTTTGTCTCCCCATGACAAGGTAGGAGTAATGAATTGTTACTTGATTTCTCAAATATCCTTTTTTTCACAGGCTTTGAGAGTTTTGCTCTTCTCGATGGAAACTCATGCTAATAGGTACAAAAGATACATCAAACCTCTTTTGAGCATAAGTGTGGATTTCTATGTGCGTGTTTTTGTGCAAGTTTTTACAAGTGCCTCAGAAGTGAAAAGATCAGCAAGTAAAAACTGTCTGGTCTTCATGTGCATTGGATGTGGAAGTTTTCATTTTCAGCCAAGTGAGTGTTGCAAAAACTGACTGTTGTATACAAGTTAATTATTTTTGCACTAAGGCATACTTTTTTTTTTTCACTATTTTGTGCCAAGCAGTCAAAAGGAATATTGTGATGTGATACAATGTGCTGATTGGTTTGAGTAAAATTGCCATTTGTAGTGTTTCCTTACTTTATTGCACATCTTTCATTTCTTTACAAAGTGGACAGCCCCTGATCGTAGTTTGTTCTCTTTTTATGTCAACTTATAAGTGGAATCTTAAAATTTTGTCTTTACAAGTAACTGTTATAAGTTGTTTTTATTTGAGGTTCATTGCATCAAATGACATGTTGTGTTCATGTTTTCTAAATGAGTGTTTCCAGTATTCCAGTATACCCTAAACCTTATGCCAAAGAAGATTTTATTTTACAAGAAAGTAAATGCAAGTTGAAATTCAGTGGGATGTTTTGGAAGCCATGTCTTATTGCATGTGTGCCCGACGGTACACATACTTTGTTGCACTCTTGCATGCCTATCTGCACACATGCTATCTCACAGGCTGTGTGTGCCATGTAGCCCGCTGGTTGAAACAAAGGCAACAAAAGGTTTATGCGACAGTCTTTGTTTTGCTTATTTAGATATGTTTATTGGAAAATTTAAGACTAGTCTAGCGTGCCTACTCGTCTTCTACCCTTTTAACCTGTTTTCCTGTGGAAAAACACAAAATACAATGAGAGAAGGAAAGGAGACTTCCAATTTTTGGGTGTGTTTATTTCCTAATCTGTTGTTTCAAGTTGTTTGCAGAAAAACTAGCTCTTGTGGTCATACTAGTTGAAGTGGTCAAATGTATCATAAAGTTCAACTTATGAACAAGTAAAATACAATAATATTGTAATAAATTGCAAATACATTCATAGGGTTCAAGATAATGACAGTTGTGATAACACTGATAGGCTAGATTCCTTGATATGATGAAAATGAGAAATGCATGTAAATATGGAAACGTCTTATTTTATTCAGAGTTCTCCCTAGTTTTCAGCACAACAGGTAAGGGACCTTTTGAAACCGGTAAAGCATTTGGTTACTGTTGGACATTCTGTAAAGGATAAGCGACAATTTGAACTTTTGCACCACGTCGGTTGAGCTAACTTCAGTGCACGTAGATCAATAGCAGTGCACTGCAGGGGTTTCATAGGGTACCCAGGCAAACTTAATGCAGGGCCAAAGGGCGTTGCCCCCTAGGGGGGTCTGGGGGCATGCTCCCTCAGAAGATCTTTGATATTTGAAAGTCACAGAAATACATTTTCCTGCATTCTGGAGCTTCCATGCATTCTGAAACTTCCATGCTTCAGTAGTCAAAGAGGACATCATTTCTTTCCATGATAGTCGTGATTTGACACATTAAAAACAGGTAAATTAGTTTTCTAAGGCAAGTTCATAATTTTGGACATATTAAATTTCTAGAATAGCTTACCTTGCAACAGAAGGTATCATAAATGATCACGGAGGGCGTGGTTTCCGTGCATGTGAAGTGGGATAAAAATGTTCACGATGTTTTCAAATTGCTTTTTGTGTCAGGGGTATACAATTCTAATCAAAGTATAACCTGCAACGAAAATTTCCTGGTGTTTGATTATAACGTTTTATATTTTCATACGGATGGGCTTTCTAACAAACACCTGGGGGTATAAAGATCTTTCTTTGCAAGCTAGAAAGAAATCGAACACGTGCTAGACAACCACTTGAGAGCACGATCAAAGCCAAAACAATCTTTAATTTAATTTGCTTTCTACCCAAAAGTAAATTTCTCCGCGTTGTAAAACAAAGTAGAAAGCTTTATTTGTATCGGTTTCTTTTTTTCTTTCGCTTTTTAATTTCCTCAAAATATGATTACATAATGTATAATTATTTGGCTTTACTCAAGAACTGCGAACTGAAGAGTGGCGCTAATTTCATTGTACGCATGTGCCCAGCTTCGTAATGCCACATTTACACTTCTCATTCCAAACGTATTTACAGCAGAGCACTCTCCACCACCTCAATTGCAAGGGCACACAAAGAACTGTTCAGAGAAAAGAAACTCATCTTCTCGAATATAAACAACATTTCATGGGGTCGATTGAAAACATTAGGGAGTTAAAGAAAACCACGAGGGCAACGGCAACGCGAACGTCACAAAACAAAAGAGTTAATGAACAGAACAATGACTGTGCACGTGCGTTATAAGTCTTTGTAAATTTCTTTGCGTCCTCTGCAAAACAACAACGTGAAAGACCAAACTTTGCTTTGTCGGGAGAACGTAAACGACGACGGCTAATGTTTTTAAATTCTATTTATAATTTAATGGTATGTTCCATATTCAGTTTTGTGATAGTTTTGACAGGGAGAAAAAAACTGAATGACTTTTGAGTATCGCGAGATTCGTAGGTAAAATATAAGTTCATTTTTTAACCGACGTTGTCTACGGTGTCGCCGTCGTCGTTTCTTTAATAGGGACCTTAAGCAGTCGGGACGGCAACGCCAAGGAAGACTTCGATTAAAAAATGAATTTCTACTCTTAGTTAGAATTTTAAAAATGGCTGCATGAGCTTTATGTCTCATACGACGCCACAGCTCAACTTCAGCATGACGCATAAAAGCAGCGTTGAGTTCCAAATGGAAATTAAAATAATTTGCCGTCGCGGTTTCGGTTCGCAGACGACGCAAATTTTGGCGATTTCACGTTGTTGTTTTGCATAGGACGGCTAAGAAATGTACAAAGTTTCAAAATGCACGTGCTGAGCTATTATTCAGCCAATTACATCTCTTGTTTTTCCACGTCCTCGTTGCCGTCGGCGTCGTGGTTGCTTAAGGTCCCTATTTCCCTATTGTCTACCGATGATGATTTTTCGCAAAAATTCCAAATTGACTATGAATATATTCCTGAAGCATTTGCCTTATTGAAAGCTCAAAGATTAAAGCCATTCAACATATCGTGACAGGAAAGGTTTGATCGAAAGTATTTGAACTCATATCCTGACCTTTTCCCCGGCGGAGATTTGTGAGGACGAGCAGAAAAATATTCCGCGATCAAGCGCATTCTTAATGCGTATTTTGAGGACTTTTGAGCGTTTGCAAGCGATAAATTTTACTGTTTACCGCCTTATAAAGAGAATCCTGAATTAATGTTACCTTTATGCAAAATTTAGAATGATCATAATCTTAGAGTAAGTTACAATAATAAAACCATGAAAAGTCTAAAATATCAATAAAAGAGTCGCGGAGAAAACTCTCATTACTTCCACTGCCATATTATGTTTAAAATATGAGATCATTTATGCAAAAATCATTTAAAAAGTTGAAGCGGTGACATGATTTGTTTCAACAGTTATCTTTGACATCCTATGTTTGAAGATTGAAATATTCCATGGAGATGTAGGTCTAACATTTCTAGCTTACTAATCTCATAGAGTTTTGCTATCCTGTCTTTGCAACGTTCTTGTTTGTTAATGGTTCAAGGTATGTTTTTGCACCTATGGCTGTTTATAGAATGCACAGAATTGTGGTACATCATTTCTTGTTAGAGTGGGCCAGTTGTGGGTATCTGGCTAGGGGGTGAGTGATTTTTCATAGCCCCAGGATGAGTATTTCTTTCGACACAGTGCGTCGTTGATGACCGTGTGTTATTATTTACAGGACATTCAGTATTGAGGTAGGTGGGCGTGACCAATATGACTTGCAGCAAAACACAGTTTGCTGCTATTAGGTATGATTAATACTATTACTTAACAGACCATTATTTGTAGGTTTAAAAGTGTTTAACTCTGAACTGTTACACGTACTGCTTCCAATCACTAGGGCGATTCAGAGCACTTAGGTGTATAATCAAAAGGGTGGATCATGTTTACTGTAGTTAGCCTCTCGGTCGACAGTCGATCCCGATTATATATTTTTTCTTAGTCCGTTACCTCAACTTAAAAGGGCCCGTCGGAAGGTGATAATTTTCTCAACCAGCATTGATCGTAAGTTAACCTCTTTTCACCAAAAAGATGATGTCACTTTAGAAGCTTAAAGTTTTGCGCGAATAACACGTTAGTCACGGTAAAGATCCTTACGTTTAACTTCGATCATGAGGAAGACAGGTCAGTATCTAAGAAATGAATAACAATGTCATCAAGTGCGTAAAACAACAAAAGGTGACAGTAATCTCAGAGTTTCATAACAAGGATAATAAAGGAAAATTAACTGAACACAATTTTACCTTTGAAGTAAACATTTCTTCCGAAACGGTAAACTCTTCCGAGGAGAAAATCAGCCTCTCTTTTCAAAGATGGAATGTCACCATCATGACATGCGGTCTCGTCATCCAGAAATGTCGCATCCGATTCTTCATCGCTGCTCGGAAAATCGTATTTTCCTTCTTCCTTTTCGTCGTGTAGCCCGCGGTTTTCTTGAGGCTCTTCGAAGTCAGAGCGTTGAGGCTGACCGGTTCACTTGGCTGAATTTCTCTCTGATCGAGATACGACGGGAGAGTTCCAGCTTGTGCCATCGTTGTTTTCTGTTTAACATAGTGCTGACGCACTGTTGCACCAAATGTATGCTCTGTAGTGCCATTGATACAGGTGGTAATGGTTGGATACCGGTATGTCTGATAGGATCAAGGCACTTTAGGCTACAGAATGCCAAAACTTTGTATTTGTAAAATAGTACGCCGCTCAATGGGTTGTCGTCTTTAAGCCTTCTTTGGCTACAAAGTTTCTTGCGTAATATAACCTCGTGCAAAACTCTCGTGAACGGACTTCCCGGTTCTCGTTTCGTTAGAGTGATTATTAATTTCTGAATCCCGCCCTTTTAAACGGCCGAATCCCGTGTCCCGTTCATAATAGCAATCACGCATCTCGCTCCCTTCTTACTCTAAATTCCCTGATCCCGACTTTCAATAAGCTCAATCCCGGATCCTGAAAAACCTATTGGGGACCCTCGTTGGCCGATACTTGGTCGAGACCCGGTCGATAGTCAGCCAGTGATCTCGTGGAAAATGTAAACACGCACCAGTTGAAGATCTAACCGAGAATTTCGTTATTAATGACTCAAATTTGAATTCACTTTGTAGTTAGCGCACTTTATAGATGTATTTGGCGGTGTGTCATCTATCCATTAGTAGAAAAATGTCTGCAATCATAAGTTGTCAAATTATTTGCGCGGAGAGAAAGGTGACAACTTGAAAGCTGCGCAGGTTAATCTGCCAGTGTTCACGAGGCATTAGCGCTGGCATTCTTCTCGGGCTTGGTCATATAGTTTATATATATATATATATAAGACCAAACTTTGTTAAACGAAAAATAAACTAACTCGGTGTTGCATTAAAGTATCTTTTGATAAATCAGGCACAAATATAATTATTCCTTTTGAGTCAACGAACCTATTGAACAATGCAATTTACCTTGCGGTAAATTCTTCGTGAGCATTTCACATTCCGGTATTGTAACTCCTAAGCTATTCTTTTATTCAGACATGGCAGATAATATCCTGTTGCTTAATCCTTATCGCCTAGTGCTAATTTTCCCATTGAAATCCTTACTCAGCACATCTGTTTACAACACTACCATTTGTCCCTGAAGGGGACTCAGTATTATGAATAGATTTTTTTCTCTTCTGTGGAATAAACCTGTGAAATATTGGTTTGTTTAACTTTATTAAAATTTTAGGTGGACCTCTAAGTGAGTTTTGTAAAGGAACGCTACTTTTGTCTTCTTTGCTAGTGGGCCGCTGTATTGAAGAAGGTCTTAGCAAGAAGTACCCCCCAGCCATGGGTCCTCCAGTTGGATCTTTATGTGACCAGTGCGGTAGGCAATTCCACATGGGAGGACCCATTTGGAAAGAACCAATTCACGATGCTGAATTTGTGGAAAGGTTGCTGAAGACTGTGAAGGAAGAACCTGGTCTGTTTAAGACTTCAGAAAGAATAATTGGTAAGGAACCAAGATGTTTCCGTTCCTTGACGCTGCTAATGGGTAGTGATTTCTCGTACTTCTTGACTTTGTTCATCTATCTGATTGGTTACTGATTGCTCTTCAGAGCATGGTGATATTGTTTGTCTCACGATTTAGTCACTTCCAATGTGGATCGCGACGTTTTTATATCGAGCTGTTAGTCTTCTTCGATTGGTGAGGTTGACGGGATACGCGTCCCCGTATGAAACATTTAAGTTCCACTTTCAGTAGCTGTTATTCAACAGCTGTTTGTGGTGAATTTGTGAAGATACATTCGGTAAGTCATCCGCAGTCGCACGGCTCTCCAGTTAATGTCTTTCTTGATCCCCTTGTGGGAATCCTGTTGCACTGTTCTTGTTTATTGTATTGGGGTGGTCTAATTCGATTGCTTCCTTCATCTTGTATTTGTTATGACTGAGATCACGATAAGTGAGGTTTACTTCTTGACAGAACGGGTGATGACCTGTGTTTAGGGGGTGTAATGAAATGGCGGAGGTCTGGGTCTTTACAGTCGGTTGCCTCTCCTATGCACCTTGATTCTGTCCCTGTGTAGGAGGTCTTCCAGTCTCATCAATGCAAAATTGGGTCAGTAGGCTTTAAATCTCAGAAGTGTGGGCACTGACAATCAATTAATGCAACATCGTGAGAGGCTGAGCCGTGCGACAACAGACCGCTGGGGAAACAAATCTCCAAAACTGCACTAATGAAAGCGACTATATACCTGCTAATCACAACAGGGCATAATGCTGCTAAGAGGGACGCGTATCCTGTCAATGTCGTCGCCTGAAAAAGACTAGAAATATGCTATCGAAACGTTGAGAACACCATCCCACGTCATGAAACAAATGATGGTATTTCTAAACCAGTGTCCGATAAATAACGACAACCGTTTTCATCTTGCCTGTCGCCAAGTCGTCAGCTTCTTTTTTAATTCAGAAGCCTTTTCGGGAATGTCTTTCCTGCATTAGAGTCACTTGGTGTAGTTTGGATAAGTATGGTGTAGTTTAGTGTGGTTTGGTGAAGTGTGAGTAATTTGGTGTAGTTAGGTGTAGCCCGTGCAGTTGTCGGAGTTTGGTGTTGTCAATTGTACAGTTCCTTGTGGTTTGAAGTAATTGGTGTAACTTTGTGTAGAACCAAACTCTGCACTTTACCATCATAGTTTCTCGTGTTCTCCTATGATGCGGAAGTCATCATCAGAGATAGTAAATTCTAATGATAACTTCCGCTCAGAAATGAGACCCGCGTAGGACTACCTTTACTTGGACGGGCAGACGAGATGTTCAACTTATACCCTTGAGTTCAAACCATTTACTGCAGTGACAGTTACGTATAGACATGTAGGAATTTAATTTATGTTCTTGTTCAGGACTGTTGAATGTTATCCAAGAAGAATTACCTGACTGTCCTCTATACTACAGTGTGGACCATCTCTGTGGAGTTCTTCATTGTAACACACCTTCTCTTGTGCAGATCAGATCTGCTCTACTAGAAGCAGGCTACAGGGCCTCCAGCTCTCATGCATGCAAAGAAGCGCTCAAAACGGATGCTCCTCACAGTGGTATGTACACGGGCAAACCTAAACTATGAGGCTATTTGTACAATTTAACTTAGTGGAAAGGGAAATGTCGAGATGCTCCACATTAGCGTAATTGATTAAACATCAAAGTAAGTAGTTTCACCTAGTATGTTGTAATTGTCGTTTCTGTGGCTCAAGAAAGCGAATGGTAGCGATTTATAGACTTCGGGATGGAACAATCATCTGTGTACATAGTAAATAATCAAGAGTGCAAAGCTTCGTTTTCGGTCTGTTTGGAAGCAGTCAAGATTTTCCATACAAATTGCAATCGTATGGGCTCTAAACTGCGTGCACCAGACATTACAAGATCCTCAGCTCTCTTCTCGTATCATTACATTTGAAATCTGTCAAAAAAAGTTCAAAGCTTGAGCTGAAAAAAAAAAAAAAAAATCCAGAAATCGAGGTTTGATAGATGCGTGGTTGACCTTTGGTGTGCGTGCTGAAACTGTTACGCTGTTCCACTCATCTTTGATTTGATGATAATGAACGTTGCAAAAGGCATCGATAATCCTAAACATTTCCTTTAAGCTCCAATGTGCAAATTCTCACACCGTTTGAGTGGGTTACCGTTGGAAGGTGGGTGTATTTTATTTTAACTTGTAACCTCTCGTTAATTTTGCCAACATTACAAATCTTTTCCATATTCAGCGCTAACAAGAGAATGTGAGCTGATGCTCTCTTGGTTGCCAGTGATTAATATAGTACAGAACTGAACCTTTTTTATAACATAACCAAAGTAAAGCGCGCGCTCTGATTGGTCAATTTAGCGTCCCCCATTTACCCATGGGTGTACGCTGCTGACGTGAGCAAATGCAAAGACTATTTTTCCGCGCGCGCTTGTTTTTTTCTGGTTACGTAAGATTTGTTAAATAAAAGGGAACTCTTTGGCTACAATGTGTTAATGTTATGTTATAAAACAAATGGTAAACACCACAGCGTACACTATTGAGTTATGGATGCACTTGGGAGGTTTGCTAAGCACTCAAGAAGCTAGAGTCGCTCTCGGCTATCGCCTCGAGCGACTCTTACGCTTCTTTCGTGCTTAGCAACCTCCCGCGTGCATCCATAACTCAATAGTGTACGCTGTGGTGTTTACCATTTGTTAATCCTTATTTTTCATTTTTACTGAATCCCGAAGGTGCTTGATTTCTCTTGAGCTGTATCTAATAAGTTGCCCATGGGGAGCCTTGGAGGCTATCGTCATGTGTAACTTAATACAATACCATCACAATTTTTTGTTCAGACATGAAGTTGCTGATAGTAGATCTGACCTTGATCTTTGCTCTTTGTTCTAAGCGCACAACCGATGCTTAACAATTTTTTTATTATAGAACGACATTTTATACAATATACAACCTTTTCTACCAATAGTTGTGTGGGATGTCATGAGGTGTTGGGAAAAACTTCACCCTGTAAAACGAAGGAAAGAAAGTTCTCCAGGTGCAGCCATTCTCAGCAAAGAACCGATCGTTCAAGTGTCGTTCAAAGAAATACCTGAAGTAAACCCTTTATCAAGAAAAAAAAAGCTTCTGAGATATCAAGCAAATCCTGAGGCCAACTGGGGACCAAAGCCAAGGTATGTACCACAGTTAAGCTTTATTGGTGATTTCCTCGGGAATCCTTAGTCCCTCGTAAAAGGTGTTGCACAATTCTTCCGCGATTGGGTTTAGTTAACTGTGCAAAGGTGGCTTTTAGCAAGTTTGCCTAAATTTTTCTTGGTTCTTCGTAAAATCCTTTAATTCTCTGTAGCTGCCTTATCCTTTTCTTTGGTCAGATTCGATGCCATTTCATTAGTAGGTGAGCGAAATTGTTAGAAGTATCTCATTCCACCCTCATAATGTGTAGAGCCATGGTTGAAATTTCCTCTCGAAGCCAAGTCATTGATGCGAATGAAACGCGCAGATGTTAACTTTGAAAAGTGACCAATCATGGGGTGTGACATGAGAGGTTTGATGGTGTGAGTTATCGAAAACGAAGCTAGTGGACTTTCCCGAGTTTTGTCTCGGCCAGAGCCAAGCTGTTTTGCGATCATCTTCATTGCCGAGAGCCTAGCTCTACCTAACGCTACTTACACTTTTCGTCCTTAGTTTTGTCCCAAGCCAATTTCATTTTGGTCAGCAACCTTTTACAATACAAGGACATCTGTTGTTGTATGAAAAGATGAAGAAATTATCCTATAGGTGCCATCCAAATTGGAAAATACTTGGCTTTTGTGATATTTTATATTAATATAAGTTTTGTCATGTTGAAACGTAGGGCAAAGAGGAAAAAAGGAACGGAGACAATCGAGGATAAGAGACAGCGTCTACAAGGACGAAGAACTCCAGAAGACAAAGAATTTTACAAACAATTTCCTTGTAAGAAATTTCGACTTGGCAAGTGTACGTATGGTGACGAGTGTAAATACTCGCATGCTATAAATTTGTACCTAGAGGAAGGAAAAATTCCATAAATCCAACAAAATTACGTAAGTTTCTCAATTTTCCATAATTTATACCCCGGCTTATCGCTTTTATCTGTAAAATTATCGTGCATTCTTTGCTTCTTTTCGAACATGCCTTTTAATGTTTCTTTTTGATCTCTTCCTTAGAATTTTGATTCAAAATTTTTGAAATAAAATATCCCTCAGACCTCAATCAAGCCTTTGAATCTTTTAAGCACCATTTGTGAGTGACCAGCATCTAATTTCGTCATGATTGATCACAACTACTCACCAGATCAAAGATAATGAAAAGTGTCATACGATAGGTCAATTTTCGCGACTTTTAACACGGTAATACTGTAGAAGAGACAGAAAGACAGGTGAGGTAATATGTAACATCTGAAACCTTTCGATAAAATACTTTTGAAGAGGCTACCGAATCCAGCGGTAACGTTTATTTATGTAAGGAAAAAATTTCGATGAAAAATGAGAAAGTTAACATGGAGAAGATTGACTGGCGATGAAGATCGCTTGTTTTCCTCAAAGTTTTATGCCTCATTGATGACGGAACTCGTGATCACACTTTATTGCAAGAGCAACTTTTAACAAGTTTTTGCAAACTAGAGATGTAGGGAGCCTTTCACCTATGGTCAGGTGGCTTTGTGATATTCAAGTTTTCGCACAAAACTTTCTGCACTTTTCCAAGTGTGTTCCCCTTCACCATAAAACAAATATCGTATTGGTGGTGGCTTATGGGGCGCTGCACATTTAACGCATCTATCACCGCGTCTTTAGCTACAGAAAAGTTATGTTCATCCTGCATGGCAATAATATCTAACTCCAGCTCACTCGGAGCATCCAGCCTGGAAGGGATGGCTGTTTTATCTTGGCGGCCATCCGAGAGAAAAAACAAGCCGCCTGCACTTCTTTCACAACAACATCTGCATCAATCTTGACCAGTACTAAACCCAGCTTCAAGATAATGTCATTGCACTTTGGTGGCGCGGACATTTTGGTCCAAAAGGCAGAACTTGTACAACGGAAGGACTTGTGATGAACTGCAGAAAGTGGTCAAGCTAAGCTTTGTCTATCCCTCCTGTTTGCTGGCTTTGTATTGGTACTCCTATTCCGCGCTGTAGTCGATGTAAGTTTGCTGTTGTGTAACGGTACTGCGACAGGCCAGGAATATACTCTCGGATGTCGGTCAAACGTGAAATACCAGTCATAATGTATTAAGTTTGACGTCGCGTGTCCCAGGTGGTCGTATTCTTGTACGTCCAGCCATGACCTCAAGATAAACACGCCATGATGGAAGGATTACTATTAATAGTAAATTTGTTGGAAAAAAGTGTTTTGAATTTATGAATTCGGGTGTATAGCAGTATCTTTAGGCCCGACTGTCACGCTTAGAGACGCAGGATTTAGTGAGAAGCACGAGCACGTGGCCAACAAGCACGTGGCCTGATCACGTGGCCTGATCCCTACCTGATCACGACGACGTTCAGACGAATTGTTAACGTTAGCCAATTAAAAACAACCGCCTATTGGTGTTTTATTTATCGCTTTTTGCGACCGTTACACAAGATCTCTTCGTCAATGAGCGCGCGAAATGCCAGGGACCTGAACCGTTGCCTGTACTAGGTAGTACTTTTTGAGAGAGTGAGAGAATTTCTGCTTTTTCGATCGTGTATAGGCCATCCCAGTTTAATGCTTCGTTTCCCATCGCCCGACCGACCCATTATTTTGAAAAATTAAAAAAATAAAAAAAAAAATTTCTGCAACGTTTTTAAAGCCTTTTTAGAAATTTGACAGTCGTTTTAATATACATCTTTTACCATCTGATTATACCTTCCAGACTAAATGTGAGATTTAACATTTTAAAGTAACTGGAACACAAACTGAATGTTTCTTGGAAAAGAACATTTCGTCAAGACAGCTTTTTTCATTAAACAGTAACTTTCTAACAGTCTTGCTTGTCAGATTCAATCTCATAATGACCCATAATGGGGGCGACTGAAAGTTTAGTTTTAACACGAAGTTGCATTCAAGAACATTTTGAACGAACTTTACCCTAGGTAAAGGCTGATAGTTTCGAAAGAAACTGTTTGGGGCTGCGTCGGTGGGAGTAACGAAATAATTTGGATATATCAACAAAGTTGAAATGGTAAATTGGCCACCGTAACGATTATAAAAGCTGACGTTTCGAGCGTTAGCCCTTCGTCGGAGCGAATAGAGGAATTGTGGGTTGTGTGTGCTTTTAAAGGCAGAAAATGGAGCTACGTTATTGGTGGGAACATGGCAACGAGAAAAACACGAATAAATTAGTGGAATGAAAAGCGTTCGTTGATCCCTGTGGGATTTAGACTGCCGGTTTGAAAGATGAGCTTTTGTTCAAGAGTTTTACGGCTTTCCGTGCTACCTAAGTGTAAGGAAAGACCGCAGATTGCCATATGTTGCTTAGAATGATTAGGTAAATTAAAATGTCTAGCGACTGGTTTCGATGTGTCCTTGTCATTCCTTTCCACGTCTCGAAGGTGTTCTCGGAATCGGTCACCTAGTCTTCTGCCTGTTTCGCCGATGTATATCTTTTTGCAATAAGTGCAAGTTATGCAATAGATTACATTGGCGGAGGTGCACGTGAAGTGATC